GGGTTGGCCAGGGAGCAGCGATCGCTGCTCAGTGACTGTCTGGATATCGGTCGGCGGGTGGTGAGCAATTGCATTGTGCCTCACTTGCTTCGTATATCATTATTATTATTATCATTATTATATTGTTACTATTATCATTACTATATTACTTTATTTCAATTATTAAACTGTTCCTATCTCACCCCAGGAGTGTTTCTCACTCTTACTCCTCCAATTCTCTCCCCCATCCCATCGGGGTAGGGGGAGTGAGCGAGCGGCTGCGTGGTGCTGAGTTGTTGGCTGGGGCTAAACCACGACAACGTTTATCAAAACTGTTGTTTGCTTTCACTGTCTAAACTTCTTGCTCCGTCTCATTTTGCCATTTTGAATGTAGTAACAGGAAACCCATCCCGAATGCAGTTCTCAGGTCGAACAAGCAATTACACACTTGAAGTCTACACGAAAGGCTTTATTTTAGGTGCTACGCTGAGCCATAGCCTTCAAGACTTAGTCCTAACTCCTTCCTCTTCCAGTACGTGTTACTGAAGGTTTATGTCCCCGTACTACAAACCTTCAGCACAACTACTCTTCCCTTCATAGGCTTGTTTTATGTTGCCTCCATCTTCCCCTTCCGCTACCCACCCAGCCTCAAGCTTACGCCCACATTATCACATTGCAACCACAACTCAGTTTCAATGGCTTATCTTGGCAGTCCTTGGCACAGAAGCCGCCTTTGATGAGCTGCTTGATGAAGCTGTTACTCACTCCCTTTGCGTTCTGATCCCTCACAGAAAACACTTTCACTGCAATATTTAACAAAAAGGACTATTACCCTTACTAGTTGGCTAATATTAAAAGGTTGGGGAATAAAAAGGAAGAATGTAACAGCAAATAAACCCAGAAATTGTGTCACCTCTACACTGCACTGTTGGAACCTCCCAGACTAGTTGGCCTACACAATGCACCCTACCCTTCCCTGCTATCTTTATGCCAGCTAGGTTTAACGGTGCCATTCCCAAAAGATTCAGATTTTCCAAATATACAAAGAAATGGTCACACGGTAAATATACCTTAAAATATCTCCTTACCTTATCCAGGGAGAACGTTTTAGTGACAGCAAAGCCCCATCCAGCTTCAAAAGCTCTTCGAATCATTGAAGAACTAGTAGTAGGGGTTGCACTGGCAAGGCCAAAAGGATTTGGAAACTTCAGTCCAGCCATTTCTACACTGATGTCTACTAAATCGATGGGAGTATAGAAGAGTGGTAGTTCTGGAACAGTAGAAACTGCAACACCATGTAAGGACTGTAAAAAACAAACAAAAACCACAGAAATTTTTGCTGATTCGTTTTCATATAATTTATTATTTACCCTGATAAGGGAGTAATTTATATATAATAACCCAAAGTTTAAGTATTCCATTATGTGTTCAGACTTGCAAATCAGCAAAATATGCAAACACTTGCATATGTAACATCTTCTGTCCAAGCAGCATTCATGCTGAAATATTATGCCATGCTGGAAATAACTGAATAATAATAATAATAATAATAATGATGAAACAGTTATTTCCCATCCTGTACTGCTAGCCTGGTTCAGTCCAAAGGTTTGTTCAGCCATTCCGAACAGCCAGTTCTGTTCCCTCCAGCAGCCAGCAGCGTGAGATTGAGAAAAGACCTTTTCTAGTTTTCTTCCCAGGTGCCAATTTATAAAAAGTGTAGGGACTTGTGAAAAATGAGGGAAGGCATCCATGTGTAGGATCACTCAGCCCTAACTCAATGTATTTTGAACCCCTGCACCTTTTTTCTCCCCTTTTAAAGATTTTATCTAGCCTATGCATGGGATACACAGCAATATATGCAAAACTATTATTGGTTTAATATTTAATTATATTAATATGAATACTTTAAGGGTGACAAAAATTAGACTCTGATCTGGAATCAAAGCAGAACATACACATTATTGCTGTGACTTTTGTTTTCATTTTAAAGACGGTCTTTTCTCTGGAGAGTCAGTGAAAAGTTTTCAAGTAAATGGTGCATCTAATACTGTAAAAACCGTAGAGAGAAAATCTTTTTCTATGTACGGATACTGAACAGCATCCTAATCAGGCTGTAGTAGGCAAAATTAAAATCTTTGCTTGCTCAGATGGTTGACTCAATAAAATCACAAAGCAATAACGCAGGAATTTCTAACGCAGAGAAGCCCTACACAGTCGGTGTTGCTAATAAGTCCCAGCGTAAGATCGCAGCAGTTTCTTCTATCCTGAAAATGAAGATTTCTTCAGCAG